TTCAGCAGGCAGAGCAGTGGATTGAAATAACAAGGTGAAATTCTGAGTAATATTATATAGAGCACTGTCTTGGAAAACGTGCAGGCCCTGGAAAGTCAACTCAGGAACTTTGGAAACTCATGGCTGACCAGGGCCCGGGCAGAGCTGAACTCGGCCTGTGGCGGGCACTGCCGTGGTCAGGTGTTTGTTTCTTCCTCGCGCTGGCAGAAGACTGATTTTGGGGGTCAAATAAACTTCCATCTATGCAGACACTTGTGAGCAGGCAGATCTGAATGTAGGGTTGCCAAGGAGAGAAGGGGAAAAGGAGAGAGGACCGGAAATAGGAGACGCTGCTCTAGAGAGAGAAAGTCGATAGAGAACTAGAATGAGACAATGTTTCAGCTTAGATTTTCGTCACTAATCTAACTTAAATTAGTCAAAATGGGGGGAGAAAACCAGAGAGGTGAGCATGGGGTGCCTACTGGGGCCCGAGTGGGCACCTCACGGAGGCTAGCCAGCACCGTTCTCGCTGCTGGGAGGACAGACGGCAGAGGCCCTTCTGTGGCCACAGAGAGACAACTCGCCTAAGAAAAGCCAGAATTGAGATGTGAATCCCCCAGAGTCACAAGCCCGGTTCCGTACTGGGCAGAACTTGCCAAGGCTATGTGTCGCATCACACAAGAAGTCACTTTTGTGGAGCTGCCAACTGACACAAGATAATCAGAGTGCTAAATATCCGGGCACCCTCCGGTGAGCTGGGCCTCTTCACCCAGGCAGGTGTGCAGAGCTCTGGATGCCCTGCCTGACCGGGGCAGCAGCCAAGGCCTGGCTCTGATGGAGCTCACCTCCCAGTTTCAAGTTAAACAAGTAAATAAACCAGGTCTTCGCAGGTAGCAAGATGTGTTTTTAAAAAATAAAGCAAGTTAAGCAAGGTAATAGAGGCTGCCTGGGGTGGAGGGGGATAGCTTTGGTGATTCTCCTGCCTCAGCTAATCAGGGAAGAGACTAAGGAAGAATTTCTGAGGACAGGAGTCAGGACACGAGTAAACCTCCAGGAAAAATGCCATATTCAGCGAAAACTACTTGGGGCTAACGACCTCCTCCCCGACCCCAGCCTCTGTTCTGGGCTGAACAGATCTCATGCCTACCCAGCACTCCAGAATGTAACCTTCTTTAGACATAGGGTTTTGCAGATCTAATCGGTTAAAGACCTTGAGATGAAGTCCTCCTGGATTTAGGAATGACTGGTGTCTGCTAAGAGAGAGGGTGATCTGGACTCAGGCCTAGGGCGGGAGGCCACGTGAAGACCGGGCAGAGACGGGAGGGGCCTGGAGCCACCAGAGCTGGGGAGGGAGGAAGGATTCTCCTCTAGAGCCTTGGGAGGGGCACGGCCCTTCTGACACCTTGATTTTGAACTTCTGACCTCCAGAACTATGAGAGAGTAAGCTTCTGTTGTGGTAAGCCACTACGTTTGTTGTGCTTTTTGGTGGCAGCCCTAGGAAACCAACACGGTCAGACACAGAAATAACCAGCCTTTTCATGAGACCACAGCACGCGAGGCACACAGGCTCTACCAGGACCACTGCCTAGCAGCGGCCACGTGACTCCTCTGCTCTGTGACCGGGGTTACGGCCGAGAGCACCACGCGATGGCAGGGTGTCCGAGAGGCGCGCCCACACTGCCACGTGCCGGAGCCTCCGGGGCTGTGGCTGAGACAGCGACCCCGGCGGGCACTGGAGGAAGAGGGCTGAGGCAGCCTCCCACCGCCAGCCTCACCCTGCACCGCTGATCCCAGAGGAGCCCGTCCGGTAGCGAGCGTCTCAGGCGGCTGCTCGCTGAGCGGAGCCCAGAACACGTTTTCGTGTCTTAAGTCACCTTCTATGCCTGCTGGGGGTTGAGCGAGCGAGTTCAGAGCATCCTCAGGAGTAAATCTGCAGGACCGAGGATGTTGCCGCCCTGGGTGAGGCGAGCAACCAGGACCTGGATGGGACCTGGGGGACGAGGGGCGCCCTGTCCTCCCTGGTTCCTGCAGGCTACCAACACCCGCCCCGGGGCTGAGGGCGGGGCCTGCCCACAGATTCCATTCATTCAGCGGAGTGAACGGTATACCCACTGTCAGGAGAAACAGAATTTAGCAAGTTGGGTTGCAGACAACTGATGCACTACTGGCCTCAAGAGAGGGAGATCTGAAATGGAAGAATAGTCCTTGTGAGGCCGTATGAGCAGCTAAATACCTGGCTCATTGCTGTACTCCTGGTCTCAGCCCCACCTGGCCACTGTCTGCCCCCTCAGCCCCTCCCTCGCTCCGGATCTAGCCTGTCGACAGGGGGACGCGTACGGAGCCCCATGAAGCGGCAGAAACGTCTGTTCACCTCCTGCCACCGCACGTCAGAGCCAGCACCTGTGTGTCCGCCCGGCCACTCTGTCACCTGACAGCCTTGGCCTGGTTGGCTGGCCTTGTGATCAAGTCCTGCCTGGGTGAAAGCCACACCTCCTCCTCTGTTCCAAATTACCATAGTATTCAACAAAAAGAATGCCAGGGAAATAAGAACATTAACATCAACCATACTGAGAGCCCCCAGTGCAGAGAAAACTGCAAATGTAGCTGAATAATTAGATTTTCAACGTGCAGTGGGATAGGCACTGATCTGATGCAAAGGGCAATTGGTTCAATTTAATCCAAACTAAAGAAGACTGCATGCCACGTACATGCATGTGCGCATACACACACACACACACACACACACCCTCTTGGCAAACTCTATGCTGTCCTAGGATGGAGAACGTAACTATTAATTTCTCGGTTGTCTTTATTTCCCCTTTGCCGCTGTTCTCCGGGGCTCTCCCTCAGGATCGCATCATCCCAGGAGGTGAGGCTGGGGCGGCAAAGCGACGGCAGCCACCAGGGCTGCCTCGTGGCCCTGCCTGCCCTCCCTGCAGAGCTGGGCGCCTGCTCCGGGCACGCTCCCCTGATTTACCTTTGCGATCTGCACGCACCAGTTGAGCAGGTGCTGGGAGCCGATGTTGTCCTTGTGCTCGCGGACATAGTCCAGCAGGCAGCCGAAGGGCATGAGCTGCGTGATGAGCTGCACCGTGGACGTCAGGCAGATGCCCAGGAGGCGGCACACGTGAGGATTGTCCACACTGGCCATCACGTAGGCTTCCTGGGGGGAGAGAAGGAGAGGGCACATCAGAAAGGCTCCCCGCCGTGGCTAAAGGAACAGGCAGACAGACCCTTTCCGGGTACAGAAGTCGAACATGATTTTGAGTTTGGAAACGTGCGCGTGTGGAGGACAAGGGTGCCCGTGAAACGTCTAGTGCAGTGGACGTTCCCGCAGGGTCTCTTGCACGCGAGGCTGTGGAGTGGCCAGGTGCTTGATGGGAGACGGCGTCCTCTGAGTGCACGTGCGGATTCTGCGTCACACAGAGGCCCAGGCAGCGCTCGCCATCGGCAAAGCGTTGGGTGAAAATGAGACCTGATGTCTCCAAGTTTGGGCGTTGCTGAGTCCTTAAGAAGACCTGCACCTCAAAGCCAAAGGTGCCGCCGCTTAAAATGGTGTCAGGGCCGGTGGGAACCTGTGCTTGGGGCCCACACCCTGGTGAAAACTTGCCCGCTGATTCCGGAACCCCGGCCATGCGCACCGTGGAAGGAGATGCTGAGAGCTCTGGGGGGTCGGGAGAGGGAGGGGGACCTCACCTCCCCACAGAGCACGGGGGGCAGAGAGGGGGAGCCCCCCTCCCCCCCCCCCCCCCCCCGCACTGCCGGGACCACGGGCACCGCTGCCACGCACGGCAGAGAAGCCCTTTCAGTGCACCGTTTCCGGCTCTGAACCGGACGGAGAACGTTACACCTACAGCGATCGCAGACTCTGCTGGCGGCCCAGGATTCATTTCTGAAGAGGTGGTCTGTGTCGCCTCGCCTCAGTCTTGGGAAGGGAAATCCATGCTGCTCTGCAGAACCCACTCCCCATAGCCCCGCCCCTGCCAATTCGGAGGCTGCCGTGGCGGGAGCCTGGCACAGACCCAGAGCCATGGACTTTATCTGAACCCTTCTGCTATCCTTGGGCGGAAGAAGCTGATTTCATTTACAACCATGCACACAACTGGGCCTCGCTTTGGTCTGACTAAGAATTAGGGAATCCTCAATTTCCACCAAGAAACTCCA